CTATAAGACAACTGGACTCAGACTGTCCACAGGACTATGAGACAACTGGACTCAGACTGTCCACAGGACTATGAGACAACTGGACTCAGACTGTCCACAGGACTATGAGACAACTGGACTCAGACTGTCCACAGGACTATGAGACAACTGGACTCAGACTGTCCACAGGACTATGAGACAACTGGACTCTCCTACCGGACTCTGGTTCTGGTTCTTCTCTCAGGACTCGGCTGATCCTGTGGGACAGAGATCTGATGAAGCCACTGACAGACCCCGCTCGGCGCCCAGCATCTGTCCCGGCTGATCTAAGCTCCGCCCTCTCTGGACCGACAGGGCCCGTGGAGGACCCGGGTTCAGACAGGGACCGGAGGAACCTGCGCAGAGACCTGGGCCTGTTTGGACTCTCAGGGGTCTGGTTCCGAGGCCGAGGAAGAGTTCTGGACCTCAGCAGACTAAACAGCTGAGGATGGTCCAGGTTCTGGTCTCCTCCTTCGGCACATGTCCTCCATTGGTACAGGTCCATCGGTTCTGGCTCAGGTCCCAACATCCTCCAGGACTTTGTGTAACAGCACCCTCGGTACTGACCGGGCTGAATCGGGCCTTCAGGACCCTCAGGGGGAGTTCCACCTTCAGTCCTGGTCCAGAACAGACAGGTGTCCTCCAGGCGGCAGCAGAACCAGGCAGCTGTGGTCCAACCGGGTCATATTTTAGACCAGAACACGACGGCACCGAGCCTTCATGCCTTCACCTCGACGTTTCTCAACAAGTCTTCCTGACAGGAAGTGGTGTTTTCACATGGACCAATCAGAGCGCAGCTCACAGGAGACTGTGGTTTGAGTCTGAACGAGCTGAAACTGAAACTGGTCTCAGATCAGAACCTGCTCTTCCTCATCGCTTCATCACTTCCTGTCTGGTTCCAGAACCACCAGACTGGACTCTGAACCACCAGACTGGACTCTGAACCACCAGACTGGACTCTGAACCAACAAACTGGACTCTGAACAACCAAACTGGACTCTGAACCATCAGACTGGACTCTGAACCACCAGACTGGACTCTGAACCACCAGACTGGACTCTGAACCTCCAGACTGGACTCTGAACCACCAGACTGGACTCTGAACCACCAGACTGGACTCTGAACCTCCAGACTGGACTCTGAACCTCCAGACTGGACTCTGAACCTGGCTGAACAGTAGCTAAAAGTAAATCGTAGCCAACAAGCAGCTAAAGATGATAGAACAGTAACTGAAAGGAATCAAACAAACTGGTTCTTTAACAGTTCTGGACCGTGACAAAGTCCAGTTCTGGACCATGACAAAGTCCAGTTCTGGACCGTCACAAAGTCCACTTCTTCTGGTAAAACCTGGTGTTCTTGATCCTGTGGGACCGGACCAGGTCGAGGCTTTAGAAAGAACTCTGCTGGCTGCTGACCCACTTTAGACTTTATTGGATAAAGACACGGCTGGAGTCCAGGACGAGACCACATGTAGGTCAGAGATAAGACCAGAGGCTGAGCCGGGGACTCCAGGACTGATCCAGGACCAGGTCCAAGCCAAGGGTCCAGGAGACCAGGACCTCAGATTCCTTTGATCCAATGATGAGACAATAAATCTGTGCAGAACTTGTGGCTCAGGTGGATTTGTCAGCACTGATGTGTTTGGACTCGACCCGGTTCTGCTTGTTTGTTCTGCTGCACACAACCCCAGGAGTTTTAACGTTCTGTCTTCAGGACTCATGGAGTCCTTGGGGAACCAGAGCCAGACAGAACTCATTCTCACCTGGTAGTTTTTGGTTCAGATTCTTCTGAAAACATTTATAAAACCTGAAGAGGAAACAAACTACACACCACACAGCAGTAACACAATGAGCCCTGCACACACAAATACACCACAACTCAGACGTCTTTATTCCTAATAAAGTCATGCTACTAGGTGCATCCCAAAATTGTAGTGGTTTGGGTGGGGGTCATTTTTTGAGGGTGGGGGGCTGTGATTGGTTGTCCTGATGGATAGAGCTTCATCAGAGATAAATCTGAAGCTTTAATGTTGAACAGTTTCTGAGTTACAAATATTTTTCATGTCCAGACACCCCCTGTTTGACAGGAGCCCCCTCCTCAAATCTGGGGTCCATCATAAAACTGTTGGCTGGTGCAGTGTAGGTCAGACTCATCTACAGTCCTGACTCAGTTCATGTGGATCAGTGCAGCTGGTTCTGTG